GGCCATGTACTCCGTGTGGAAGGCGTTGAACAGCTCGCCCACGTAGTCGACGCGAAACTTGAGCAGTTCGTCGACCCTGCCCGGCAAGTCCTGCAGGTACAGCATCAAAATTTCGCTCGCAGACCTGCACAGAGGAATATTGATGAGTCCGGTTTCGTTGCGCAGCTTGTAGCTGACGGAGTTCTCGAGGTCGAGAAACTCAGAGGGCAGCTTAATTTTCGGGTCGGGACTGTGCTTCGCGACTTGGGCGGAGGAAGCGTCCTCGTCTTCAGACTGCGAAGAGGTCGGCGAGGAGGGCTGCGACTCGGCTTCGCCCAGTGCGGCGTAACCGGCGCTGTGGCTCAGTCCCGCCTTCGGCCTAAAGCGTCCGTTGTGCACCTCGTTTACCAGAATTTCCGTGTTGTAGCCCAGCAAGCACAGCTTTCTGGCGCGCGATATGAGAGCAGAGCGGTGTTGCGAAGGCCGCTCGTTCTCAATGGCAGTTTTTTCGTCACGAGCGCGACGTACGTCTGCGCTGAGCACAAGCGTGCTGAATGGCGATCGACCTGGCAGCGAGCCGCTGCCCAGCTTTGTGTTCAAAATGATTTTTCCCTCGACGCAGTGGTTAAGCGAAACGCTCGTGGTGCCGGCGAGGATGTTCTCGTCCTCAGTGGCGGAGTTGCGCGAGTACAGATAGAACCTCAGTGAAGCTGCAGCCGGTGGCAAGCCGTGCAGCACGAGCTTGCCGGGCGTAAAGCACACGCAGGAGCCATTAGGCTTGTACCTTGTCCGCACGTTGTTGAACAGCAGGTTTCTGTTGCGGTTGTTCAGCGCTGCGGACAGCAGCTCGCCCGCCGCGCACACCACGAGTTTCCAGCTGCGCGGCGCGGCTGACTGCGGAGAGACTTCGATGGAGTGCAACAAGACCGAGACTGCGTCATCCATCGGCCGCTGCGAGAGAGCAGGATCGGCGAGTTGATCGCGATCGAGATATTATTTAACTAAAAAAAGCTTTGGACCGAACTATGCTGGAGAGCGAAGGTCGCGGCGCGCTCGCAGGCGCCGCGCAAGTTGCGCGGCGCAGCAGCTATTATATTGTGTGCGCTAATTTTGATTTGCATTGCGAAGTGCGGCGAGTAGGAGAGAGATCTCCGGTGTACGATTCCGCAGATCGCGTTAAATGGTGCGGCGGTGGCTTGCGCTGGCGCTGCTCAGCGCGGTAGAGTGTGCGCGGAAACCGCGTAAGAAGCTCGACGTCGACTTTGCGGACGCGGGCGAGACGGAGCTGGTGCTGAACGCAGCGGGCATGAAGTGCGAGGACTCGGCTTATGTTGAAGCGGCGGGGATTCGGTGCGGTTTGCTCGCGAAGAACATCGGCCCGCTCGGTTGTCAGCGCGTGATCGAGGACCTCGCGAACGAGCGCGGCAGAAGCCTGGACAACGTCCCCGCAGTCTTTCGCACCAAACGCATTGCTGACGCCTGTCCCGAGACCTGCAACCTTTGCGAGTTGTGCGCTCCAGGTTGCGCACTGTGGTTCGTCGGCAACGGCTGGTGCGAGCCCGCCTGCAACAACGCAGCGTGCCAGTTCGACGGCGGCGATTGCTGGGACAAAGACTGCGAGGTTGGGCCCTGGAGCCCGTGGTCCGCGTGCTCGAGCACTTGCGGCCCCGGTGGCTTTCAGACCCGCAAGCGGTCCGTGACGCAGAAGCCGACCGGCAGTGGCAAGCGGTGTCCCGAGTTGACGGAAAAGCAGTTTGGCTGCTCGGACGCCGTGCCTTGTCCCGTCGACTGCGAGATGTCCGACTGGAGTGAATGGAGCGCGTGCGACGCAGACTGTGGCCTCGGCCACGTGCATCGCTCCCGGGAAGTTGTGAAAGAGGCGACAAACGGCGGCATTGCGTGCGGGGAACTCACGCAAACTGTCGACTGTTTCAGCGCTCCGTGCGACTCGAGCTGTCAGGTCTCCGAGTGGTCGCCGTGGACAAGCTGCAGCACGTCGTGCGGGTCTGGAATCGAGACGCGGATGCGCACGGTAGCCCGCGACCCGAGCGGCGCTGGCGCGGACTGTCCGGAGTTGTACCAAGAACGACCGTGCCTCGGCCAGGACTGCGAGAGCGGCGACGCTTGCAAGCTAAGCGAGTGGAGCGCATGGTCTCCCTGTTCCGCGCGCTGCGGAAAAGGCAAGATGACTCGCTCGCGCGCGGCGTTCTCCGGCAGCTGCGCCGAGTCGCTTTTAGTGGAATCTGTGCCCTGCTTCCTCACGCCTTGCAAAGATGTCGCAGACTATTTCGTGGTCGGCGACTGGTCGCAGTGCAGCGGCAAGTGCGGCGTCGGCGTGCAAAGCCGCGCAGTGCGCTCTGTTTTCGACAGCAACGGTTCCCACTCGCAAGAGCGGACTTGCGCACTCGGCAGCTGTGACGACGAATGCGACAGCGCGTTCTCGACAGACTGCGTCTTACCTGAAGCGCACTGCGGGCTTGGTCATCGCTGGGACGTAGAGTTTCGCAAAACCGCCACTGGTCGTTGCGAGCCTCACGCATCGTTTTCGGACTGCTGGGTACCGTGCGCAGAGAGCGAGGGCGCGAGCGCGTGCACCGTTCAGAAGTGTAGCCTCTGGTCTGAATGCAGCGAGGGGTTAACTGAAAGGACACGCACCTGCTCAGCGTCGGGCGCCGACTGTGCTGATGCAACGCAGGTGGCGGCGTGTGAGTATGCTGTCGAGCCGGCAGGCTGCGTCTACTCTGAGTGGAGCGAGTGGTCGGCTTGCGGTGCGTCTTGCGGTTTCGGTTGGCAACTACGAACGCGGAAGCTGGAGCGCTTTGCAGCCGACGGCACGCCCTGCGATGAGCTCGAACAGCTGCGACCCTGCTTCGGCAGTGAATGCGCTGCGCAGTGCGCAGTTTCGCAGTGGCTGCCGTGGGGCGAGTGTGTCGCTGACTGCGCGCGCATTGGGCAGCGCTCGCGCGCAATGATAGGGTACGACGCGCCAGACATTGCTTCTACGCAGTGCCCCTTCGCGCGCCTGGAGTCTGCGCCTTGCTTAGCCGATTGTCTGACGAACACGCTTGCATCGCCGCGGTGCTCTTACTCTGAGTGGACAGATTGGTCGCGGTGCTCTGCGGAAAGCGGCGTGGGCATCAGTCAAAGAACACGCTACCCGCTGACGGGAGAAAGCGAGGTGTGCGCGGACGTGCTTCAGTCGAAGCCGTGCTACGTCGCTTTGCGCAGCAGTCAGTGCGTGCTGACGGACTGGTCGCCGTGGTCCGCGTGTTCCAAAAGCTGTGGCGGCGGTAAAAAGGCGCGGTTTCGGCAGATAGCGCAGGTTCCTGCAAAAGCGGGTGTGACTTGCGACCATTTGTTCGAGGAAGCTGAGTGCAACACGCACGAGTGCTTGAGTTTGACGGAGTGCGTGCTGTCGCAGTGGACCGAATGGTCCGCGTGTTCGCAGAAGTGCGGTGGCGGCGTCATGTTTCGCACGCGGTCGGTCTTGCACTCGCCGAACCTGGACTTCGATTGCGGCGCTACACAGCAGGTCAAGGGCTGCAACTTGCAAAGGTGTGCTGGAGCAAAGTGCTTGGACCATCCTCGCATTGCGGAGAACGGCATTACCTGCGCGATGTTGAAGACGCAGGGTTGCGATAGCAGGCTGTTTGACCTCGCTCGCGAGAACGGTGTAGACGACAAGTTGCCTGCCGATGTGCCGCCAGAAGCGCGCATTCAGGACGTGTGCCCAGCAACGTGCGGAGTGTGCAGCGAGTGCGCTCCGGGTTGCGAGCTGCGCGACTTGGGCAACAGCGTCTGCACTCCCGAGTGCAACAACGAAGCTTGCGATTTTGACCTAGGAGACTGCGGCGGCGACTGCAGACTGACTGACTACGAGTTTCCGGCAACCTTAAAAGTTGTGAGCGCGAAGTCCGCGCTCGAAGTCGGTGAGCGGATGCAGTTGCTTTGCGAGAAAGATCACAAATTGGTGCAGTACAACAACTTCTCGTCCGTTGTACTTTCATGCGACGTGGACAAACAAATCGTTGTGGATCACGACGAAATGGGCTTGTTCAACTTCTTCAATTTCGCAGTGCCGCGCGACTACCATCGACTCCAGTGCGAACCTGACGAAGAACTTTACTTGCACGTCGAAGCGACGCAAATCTTTAGTCAGGTAGACAGTTTCCCCGCCTACTTCTTGGGATCGTACCGAAAGTCTGCGCTGCGCCCAGGAACTTTCCTGTACAAAAAGACCACGGGGTTCCTCGAATTTTACGTTGTCGCACTGCCGGCGGGCGTTTTCTTCACGAAAAGCGGCGGCTCGCGCAACATGTTGTATTCGCCAATTGACGCAGACTTGTTTAGAAAAAAGAATACGGCGTCTTTCACAGACCGCATCTGGCGGGCGTACCAGATCGCATTGCCAGAATCGGTTCGGATCGAGGATCCGCACTCGCTGTCGTACCTCAGCAACTTCGTTCTGCTCAACGAGCCCGTTGTGGGCGAGTTCAGTTTTAGCTTTAGCACGACCGCGCCGGACTTCGTTAACAGCTCGGTCGCGGGCCAAAAGACGCAGTTCCGCACGCGCGCGAAAGCAATGAAGCTCGAGTGCGGCAACTTTCCAGCGCTCGAGTCCGTGGCGCACGTGCAGTGCAACGTACTGGAAGAGTCGTTGGGCTGCGACTACGCGCTCGTAGAGACAGGCCAATTGCCAAGCTTCCTGCCGGAAACGACTGTGGTAGCTACGGTGTGCGCGGCTTCGTGCGGTGCTTGCGCGTCAGTCTGCGCTCCGGGCTGCGCTGACTGGTTTTTGGGGAACGGAGCTTGCGACGCGCAGTGCAACGTCGCGGAGTGCGGCTTCGACTTTGGAGACTGCAGTGTGGACGCGGCGAATGCGGTCGAGGACACTTCGGCTGCGCTGCGCAGCTCGACGCAGGTCGCCGCTTCCTCAGACGGCGCGTCGCAAAGTGCGGTGCAGCGCGAGCAGCTGCAAGCTAAGTGCGCGGATTTTCTCGGCGCGCGCGGGTTCACGTGCGACACGAAAGTCGGCGAGATTGACAGGGCTTTGGTCGAAGTTGCGTTGGACGACCTGCTGGCCGCGACGCCGCTAGCCGTTTTCTGTCCTGATAGCTGCGAAAACACGCGCAACTGTGTCGACTCGCCAGAACTCTTGGAACTTACAGGTCTCGCGTGCGACGAAGCCGCGATGTTGTTGAACTACGAGTGTGCTGTAGAGATAGGCGCGTTTGGCGAGGTCGCCGGATTAAACGAGAACACGTTGCTCTCTGACATTTGTCCGCACTCTTGCGGAGTCTGTCACAACCCAGAGATTGGAGACCCCGTTTGTCACGACTTTGGTATTCTGGAGCACGTCAGCGGGTTCGACTGTGACATGGCGTTCGACACGCTGGGTGAGTCGATTTGCACTCGCAAACTGTCGGATTTCGGACAAGAGTTGCCTTCAGGAATTCCTGCGGAGTTGGCTTTTCGCGACATCTGCAGAGCCAAGTGTGCCGTCTGCGCTGCGGGCGATACACTGCCACTGCCTGCGCGCTTCAAGAGCGAGCCGTCTCGCGAAACGCTGGCGTGTCGAGATGACAACGATGTTCTGACCTCGTTGGGCACCGACTGCCTCAGCCTTTTGGACAGTGGGCTCGGTTGCGGATCGTTGCTGCTGGAAAGCAATAACTGGAGTAGTTTGAAAACTGCGGTTGCGACTTTGCACGCCAAAGAGGTTTACGTAAACGGTTTGACGCCAGTCGCCTCTGTCTGCTCCGCTACGTGTGGAAACTGCGCGTCGCGTGTAAACGAAGGTGAATGCGCAGACGAGGTTCAGCTTATTGAAGGAGTTTTGCGCAGCTCTTGCCGCGTTTTGCTGGAGACGTTTGGTTGCGCTTCGCCGCTGCGTGCAGCGCTTTCTAAAAGCTCAGAACTGCCAATGGTGGTGCTCGAGGCGATTCACACCAGTGTGTTCATCTTCGACGTCTGCAAAGCGACGTGCGAGCGTTGCCAGCAACCCTTAGCGCACTGTGCAGACGACCCGCGGCTGCGTCGGGCGAAGCTGAGCTGCTCTTATTTGATGCTGCTAGCCGACGGCGATTGCCAAACCTCATTGGAGGACTTGCGCTTGAAAAGCAACTTGCTAGAAGAGATTACAAACGCTTTTGGTTCCACGAGCTTCACCATTGAGCAGGTGTGCAAGCGGAGCTGCAACTTGTGTGACTCGAGTTTGTATACTGCGGCGGAAGTGCCGAGCCCCGCGTGCGAAGACTCGCCCGCCTTAGCGGAAGTAGGCGTGTCGTGCGACCAGATTTTGATGTTCTTGGGCCACGATACGTCGCCTCCTGAGGTGTGCGAGATGCAGTTCGGCGATTTAGTTGCAGGAACGGCGTACGAGGGGCGCGTGCCCAACGGTTTGCCGGTGAAGGCGCTGTGCAGCGCGACGTGCAAGCAATGCGGTAGCGTAGCGTGCGACGATGGCTACCGCAACGGCGAAGAGAAATGGATCGATTGCGGCGGACAGTGCCGGCCGTGCGGCTTCTGCACGATTGAGAGTTTTTACCGGGCGCTCGATCTGCAGAAAAACCAGGTACGGCTGGCGCACGATTCAGAGCGGGGCAGTTTTGAAAGCGGTGCAAAGCTGACTCTTGCGTGCAGTGTGGGCTACGCTCCGCGCTTCGCTGAGCCGTTCGCCATTTGTCGCGACCGGGAGTGGACATTGGTGAACGCCGACTGCATAGAGGAGTCGATTGACATCGCCGCCGTCAGCGTGAAATTTCCGCTTTCTCCGAAACAACCGGCTTTGATGATGCAAAGCTGTTTCATGGCCTTGGCAGATCATCTGGGGTTGGTCGGACTGGATGCGCAGACCTACGAACTGAGAGTACTTCGTGCCGGCACGTGCAGAGCGTTCGCCCTTGCCGCAGCAGCCAGCGAAGAGTGTGTGGACGATCCGCAGGTCGCAAATTCCGGCGTGTCCTGCGCGCTACTGACGAGTGTCGGCTGCGACATGAACATTCATGACTTGGCGGCGCAGGCCGGCGTGGTGCTGAGCCTCGAGCTGCCGAAGGATACACTGGTGCTGGATGCGTGTCCTGCAAGCTGCAAAGCTTGCAAACTGGCGGCGGAGAGGAGGAAGAGCTACGCCATCGCAAGCGTTGCTCCCAGCGAGTCGGAGGAATGCTATGAAATCGAATTCGGTTTTGTCAGCAAGAGCGGAAATTCATCTAACCTGGCGAGCGCTGTGAATGCCGCTGTTAGCAGCGGGTTCGCGAGTAGTAAGCACTTTGCCGCCAGTTACAACGAACAACTGCAGCTGTTCTTGCGCCGAGCTATGGAAAGCGCGGGCGAGAAGAATGCGGAGCAGGTGTTTCTGCAAAGCAGAAAGGCTGCCGCGGACCTCGATCTGACAGCTGAGTTCCCGGACATTTTGCGCCGAGGGGCGGTTTTTGAACTTCTCACGCGGAAGACACTGCCGTTGCGATTGTGGCAGGCGGGCGTGGCGAACTCAGAAGCGCTGCACGCGCTCAACGCGGTGCGAATATACGAAGAGAGCGTCGAGTTCGTCAACCCGTATTACGACCTCAAGCGCCTCGTGCAAGCAGACAGATTACCTCTGCCGTGCGGCCAGGACGCAGAGTGTCGGAAGAGTTCGTTAGTTCCGGCGGTGCTGGCGTCGGTTTCGCGCTTCCGCTTCATGAAAAAGTTCGGAGTGTACACAAGTCAGCATTTAATTTCGCGCATCGCGACGTGCAAGAAGGCGAGCAGCAGATGCTGCGAGTTCAGCGCTGAGTTTGCTCAATTCGTTTCCGGCGAGTGCGCTAGTGCGCTGCGCTTCGACGCGGACAACACTTTTGCGCTCCGCAACCGATGCTATGCGCTGTTTGGCGGCGCGCTGGCGGGCCGGACCGACGGCTGTACTCAGCGCTTGCTGGCGTTGCTGAACAAGTACAGCCCGTTACACTGCGCAGATTTCGAAGTGCTGATGCGCCTGCTGTACAACTTGTGCAGAACCGGCGAGGACGACGAATTCTGTTTGGCTCGACTGGACGAGACGTTTACTGAAACAGTAGGCGCATCATTTTCGACTGTGCCATTGCAGTGTCCGACTGACGCGTGCGGCGAGAGCAATGTGGACTACGCCACGCACGCGAGCACGCTTACACTCGCTTGGAGTTTGAAGAACCTGTTAGCTTCGTCGAGCGCGCAAAACGAATTTTGGGCGCACGTCGACGCGCTAGCGGACGACGGCGGTGACGCCAGCGCCAAAACTTCGGTGCTGACAAAGCGGACTTTGAAGCTTACAATGACGGATTTCTATTCCTATCCAGAGAACTACTTCAAGCTGTTTTGCCCGCTGAGCCAAGACGTAAACTGTTTACAGAAAGTGAAGCTCATTGAGAGCACGGACTTGGTGGAGAACATCTTGTTCATTGCAGATCCGTGCAACTCACGCTGCTTGCAAAGGTCGCTGTACCAGTTCGGACGAGCGCTGCGGCGACACGCGTACTACGAGCGCGACTACGGCTCGATGCTGAAGGCTGCGATCTTTGGAACAGTCGCTGCGAACCTGTGTCACAGTAGCGAAGCCACGCACAGTTCGTGCATCGCGACTTTCCTGCGTGTGATGGAAAAACACCCCGGGGCGCAAAAAGTGCTCGCGCAGCAGCGCGAAGAGCCGGCCGAAAAGCAGAGCTTAGTGCTGGACAACGTCAAGTGCTCGCCGCTGTGCGCTCGTTCGCAGATCAACAACGGAATCTGCGAGAAGAACTGCTTCAACGCAGAATGCGATTTTGATGGAGTCGACTGTTTGCCGAGTACGCTGTTTAGCAAGGCGCACGAGATCTTGTACTTGGGTAGCTGTCAGGAGAGCGTCAAGTCGAAGTGCTACGTGCGCAACCAGCTGCAGTGCACTCGCGAATGCAGTGCGAGCTTAGACGCGTGCTTCGCAGCGGTGGGTTCTTGCAGCCTTGTCGCAGAAAGCATCCTGTTGGACGTGGAAGCGGCGTTTGTTACAGCTACGCGCAGCGCCCGCGCCAGCTCAAGCGGCGGCCGCTCGGTTATAAATCATTCGCTGTACGAGACGGCGCGCGCTTGCGACGTCAAAGGTCTGAACAAGAGCACAGCACTGATGCAGAGCACTCACGTTGGCACGTTACGCTTTCTCGTCGACAACTTCAATTCGAGAGTCGGCGCCCCGAAAGTGCTAATGATGCCGGAGAACGACCCGCAGGCGGAGAAGAGCGGTTTGCGTGCACGCGAAACACGGGCGCTGGCGGAGCAAGTTCGCGTGAACGCTGCGCAGAACGTTATGCAGGCACATCTGCTTTTAGGGCAGATTGCCGGTATCCTGAATGACGCGCTACTCAGCGAAGAGGGCGTGGACAAGCTGGTGCGTGTAGTGGCCGTTCGGCTGAAACGTGTGTCTCGCCGAGAACAGCTCATCGAGCTTGAACTGGCGGCACACGAAAGTGTGGCGGTGAAGAGCGCTCGGGCGCTGCAGCTTTCCGCGCTGTCGAACCGAACGTTGCAAGAGCTGAGCGAGTTATTTGCGAATGCGGTGCCTATCGAGGCAGACGAGTCAGTCTTGATGCTGCCGCTGCAGCAACGCAGCGGGCGCTCGAGCACTTTGGTGCTCATGGACTTCAGCGTCGTGGCAGTAGAGGCGAAGCAGCGCGGAGCGCAAAGCGCGGTGCGCCAGCGCACAAGCGCGCAGTGCTCGGTGAGCGCAATACCGCGAGAGGTAGAGGGCGTGCTAGTGGAGTCTCGCGAGTTGGCCAGCGGCGCGAACAAGCCGCTCGAGAAGGTCAGAGTGCACTGCCAAGACGGCTACGACAACCCTCTGCGTATTCTGTACGGTGAGTCGGGCAGCGCGAACAATGGCGGCAGAATCGATGCGGGCGACCTCAAAACCGGTGAAGTGTTGTGCACAAACCGTGCGTGGGTGCCTGCGGACCTATTCACGTGTGAGCAGAGTTGCAGCTACGCAGACCTGTTCAAACTGCAGCCGGACGGCAGCTTACTCGCAGCGCACGCGCCTGGACAAGCCGTGGAAGCGTACTTGTCGCATATGTTGACGGTCGATCACAACATGCAGAGCTATTTGCTGCGCAGCGGGCGGCAGTCGGGCGGCGCAGGACGAGCGCCTTCGCGCAGCAGCATCATACTGCACTGCGCGGATAGGACAAGCGCACGTAAAGAAACGACGGCAGTCAACAGCGCGCTTGCTACCTGCGTTAAAGGCGTATGGAAAACGGCATTGCTCGACTGCGCGCCGAGCTGCCCGGAAACGCCCAGCATTGAAGGGCTCGATGTTGAAGCGTTTGCGGCGGACCAAGGCGGCAGCGAGTATGGCAGCAGGCGCGTTGCGGTTTGCGCGCCCGGCTACGAAACAGTGTACTTCGAGCGAAAAACGGAGAAGGCGCACTTCATTTACTGCGGACGCGACGCGCAATGGTCGCAGCCGGGTTTCCGGTGCGTGACACCACAAATCGTAGACCCGATGGAGAAGTCGGGCTTGGTCGGCAAGATGATGACGCTTGTGATCAATTCGACGAGCATCGCCTCGTTTGGAGTTTTCAGTGTGGCGGCAGTGCTGTTCACGGCGGCAGTTGTGTGCGTTTGGCGGCGCTCGAAGAAGGACGAAGCGGACTTGCTGCTGCAGCGGCGCGAGCAGCTGCAAATCAGCTTGAATTCCGAGCTGAGCGCGCTAAACGGCAAGAGCTATGCGGACGGCGACGCAGCCGGCGGCTCAAATCTCAAAGAAGAGACGCTGCTTAAGCAGCAGTTGGAGTACCAGCGGACCACAACTGGCTGTCTAGAGCGTTGCGACAGCAACGTGGATAGCAGCGAAGCGAGCGCTATGGTGCGCGCGCTGACGCTTGGGCATCGCATCAAGCCGGTGCGCCATATCGATCCAAATAACTAAGAGAGCCTCGCTCGCGCGGGCTATTTTTGCAAAATCAATAAGCTTTTTTTGCTGCATAATGCCCTTCAAAGTCAACGCGCGACCTTGGCGAGACGCGAAGCAAAAGCCTTTTGCAGGCCTCGCGGCGCGGAAGCACATTCGCACGTTCCAAGAGCGAAAGGAGGAGAAGCTGCAGCTGAAGGCAGCGCTCGCCAAACAGCAAGCGATTTACGACGAAATTGCTGCGCAGAAGCGCTGCGCTGCTGCGAAGCGCAAGGCGAAGCAGGAGCGCAAGCAAGAAAACGTGATCAAGAGCGCAATCAGGCAGCAAGGCGTGCAACTGCTCGCAGACCCGAAGAAGGTGCGAAAGGCGGAGAAGAAGGCAAAGTGCAAAGTGTTCGCCGTCGCTCCGGAGCTGCTGCAGCACTACTACGGCTAGTTGTTCGGCGCTGGGTTCGAGCTGGGGTTCGTGATCATTTCGTCAATGTTGATAATCAAACTGGCCGCGTCTAGCGCGACGTTCAGCATGTGGTTTTTTACTTCGTATGGCTCCCAGACGCAAGCCTCGTACATGTTCGTGACGGGGCCGCCGGAGCTTTCAAAGCAGTCGACGCCCTTCCAGCGGTGTTCTTCGGCCAACGCGTGGTGGAGCTTGCGCAGCTGCACTAGCGTGCGCATGCTGTCGAGCCCGGAGTTCGCAGCAAGCGTGAGCGGAATCACTTCGAGCGCGCGCGCGAAGGCCTGGATGAAGGGCTGGAGTCGGTAGTGCTCCTTCAGCGCGGCTTTCTGCAAGTACGCGTAGAGCTCCATTTCGACCGCGCCGCCGCCTGCGACAATCAGTTTTGACTGCAGCGTGCGGCCGCAGATCATGATGCTGTCGTGCAGACTGCGCTCCGCTTCGTCGAGGTAGTGCTTGGCGCCGCCGCGGACGACAATGGTGCTAACGGGGCTCGGCTTTTCCGCCGTGAGCACGTTGTAGCGGTGCTTGCCGATTTGCACCTCTTCGAAGCTGCGGGCGCGGCCGAGCGCTTCGCTGCGCAAGTCGTGCACGGTGTTCAGCACGGTGCCGCCGGTCGCGAGCGAGACGCGCAGCAGGTCGTCGGCCTCGACGCGCCCGGCGCAGAAGACTCCGCGGTCCGCGAGGTACTGCGTCGCGATGTCGCCGATGCACTGGCGGCTCAGCACTACATTGACCTGCGCGTTAACCAGCGCGTCGAGCTTGTCAATTAAGTTCTGCCACTCTGCCTCGATAACCTTTTGGTAGTCCGCCATGTTGTTGATGCGAATCTCGGCGTTTTCCTTCTCGGCCTTGAGTTCGAGTTCGAAAGAGAGCAACGCGACGAGCGCACCCTGCTTGAACTGTTTCGGCGCGTTTTCGAAGCCGGCGTAAGAGAAGCACTTTTTAAAGACGACGCCCTGAACCCAGTGTGAGTCTTCTGCGCTGCCGCCTTGGACCTTCACAATGCTCAGCAGCTTGTGATTAAACGAGTCGCTGTGCTGTAGCAGCTGGTGGACGCCGTCAAAAACCATGCGCGCAAAGAACCGCCTGTTCGTCGCAAGCAGCTTGCTGTTCAACGGCGTCATCGCGCACTTCTCAACTCTTTCACGCAGCTCCGCGGGGTTCAATGCGGAAAAGTCGACCGCGATGCGCCGCAGGTAGGCGGTCGCCAGGTTGCACGCGCGGCGGTAGCCTGCGCAAATGAGTGCGGCGGGCGCGCCGGCCTCGACGAAGCAGGTCGCCTGCTCGAGGAGCTCCGCAGCGAGCAGCACAACGGAGGTGGTGCCGTCGCCCATTTGCGCGTCCTGCGACTGCGAGACGTCCGCGAGGATCTGCGCGACGGGGTGCTCAATCATCAGCAGGTTCATGATCGTCGCGCCGTCGTTCGTGATGTGCGTCTGCTTGTTCACAGTGATCAGCTTGTCCTGCCCTAGCGGGCCGAGCGTCGACTTCACGACGTCGCTTATCATCTTGCACGCGCGAAAATTCGACAGCACGAGTTGTTTGCCTTTCGAGGCTTCCGTGCCCGCCTTCAAAATGATGATCGGCCGGTGCAGCCCGGGCGCGTTGACCGCTTGCATCCTATCTCGTCTGCAAATCTGCGAGTTAAATAATTGAGAATTTAGGTTAACAGATATAAACGAGGCGCGGTACAAGCTAATTTGGCGATCGCGCCGCGGAGCGCGTCCGACTTGGTACGGTCGAGCCACACGCGGGCCGAATCTAGCGCGCAGCCTAGTTGGCGTCTTCAGTCTCGGCCGCGACCTCGGCCTTGTGCAGGCGCGCGGTTTTGTTGAGCACGCGGACGCCGAGTTCTTCGGCGCGCTTCACGATGCTGAGGCGCTTGCGCGCGGAGACGCAGCCGGCAATTTCGGCGCAGACGGCGTCGTTCTGGGTGACCAGCATTTCAAGGTCATGGGCCTGCAAGGTCGCGCACGCGCCGCAAGGGCGGCAAACTTACTCTGCGGACGACGATCTTCTTCATTCCGCACGGAACCAGCCCGCGCGTGGCGCGCGCGTTCCGGTAGCCGATGCGCGGCATGCGCGTCGTGCTGCGGAAGCGGCGGCGCACGCGGTTGTCAATGCCGCGCGGCTTGCGCCAGGACTCGCCGACGCGGTGGTAGCGGTCCGAGTGGAAGCGCTTGAACTTCTTCGTGCGCTTTTTCTGCACCTTTGTGACCGTAGCCGTTGCGAGCGTCATGAAGCTTTTCCTGGATATTTAAATTGCGAATTAGACAAAACAGCGGCGGCGCGCCGCTAGCTGAGCGTGACGACGAGTCCGTTGCACTGCACGATGTACTTGACCCACTTTTTGAGTTTGGCCGCGCGGTCCGCGGGCTTCACGTGCCGCACGTAGAGCTGCCCCGGCAGAAACGTGGCGAGCTTGTAATAGAGGCAGACGGGGCCGATGAACGCCTTGAGGCCAGCGACGTCTTTCGCGTTGAAGAGCGCCACGAGCCGGTGCGGACAGCGCTGAAAGTCCACGTGGCAGCGCAGCTGCACGCCGGTGGTCGGCAAAACCTGCTGCGGACTCAGACTAAAGCGCGCGGCGGAGCAGACGAGCAGGCCCTTCGCCTCGTACGTTTGCAGCGCGGCGCGCGGTTCGCCGGACTCCGCGCGTGTTCCCAGCTCCTGCACGCTGTACTTAGCGATCCACGCAGGCCACTGCAGCTGCAGCGAGTAGGAGCCGTTGAGCTGCGCGAAGCCCGCGTTGCGAAAAAAGAGCTTGAGGTTGTAGCCGTAGCTGGTCATCTCGAGCTCGAAGTCGAGCGTGGCCGGCGGAACGCACTCGGTCTGCACGAAACTAAGCACTTGCGTCTCGCCGGGCGCGCAGTCCAGCGCGACCGTGCCGTTCTGCAGTAGCTTCGCCGCGTCCGTCTTTTCGTCGAACAGCACGTCCTCTAGCAAAACGGCTTCCTTGCGGCGCGTCGCAGGCACGTCGGCGCAGAGCGACCTTACGAAGACGTATTCGTTGAAGCCGATCTCCACGCGGCGCGTCTGCTTCACGTAGCTCTTCAGCAGCACTTCGCCGCCCGCCGCAAGCCGCTTGAAGCGCTTCTCGCCTGCGCTGTAGGTCCCGCGGAAGGCGGAGACTACGTCGAGAAACACGTTTTCGTCTGCCGCGTCCGGCAGCGGCACGCTAGAGGCGCTGCTCGGCGCGACCTGCGCGACGCTCGGCGGCGCGGGGAAAATGTTGCGGAACAGCTTGTTCAGCTGCAGCTTTTCGGAGCACTCGTTCAGCAAGTTGCGCACCGCCGCGTTCGCGATGATCTGGTCGCCGCTGAGCTCCGACTGCACCGAGTGCAGCAGCGCGGGACAGTCGAAGCAGAACGGCACGCCGTTCACAAACAACTCGTCTACGAGCTCCTGCAGCAAAAAGCTGTTCTTTGACAGCGTGCGCGCGGAAAGCGTGCCGACGTAGTCGCGGACGGTGCGCACCACCGCCTCCAGGTAGTCGAACGCGAGCACTTCCGGCACGCGGCGCGCTGCGAGTCGCAGCGCGAAAACGAGCCCGCTGCGCTGCACGCTCGCGTACAGTCCCCCGCGACACTGGCAGAGCGCCAGACGGTAGCCCGTCTGGCGCATCAACTGCAAGTAGTCGACGAGCGCCGCGGGCGCGAGATCTGCCGCGAAGCTCGTGAAGTGGTGCGTCAGCCCGCGCTGGTCGAAAATGACAAGCGCGTCAAACATTGCGGACGCGCAGCGATCGGGCTTGCCGCGACGCGATCTACTTTACGAATTAAAATAATCAAATTCGACGCGCCGGTCACGGGCCCATCACCGCCTGCAGTTGCATCATGCAACTGAACAAGTCCGCGCTCGACTTCGGCGGGCTGTACAAGTACGCGTTCACCATCAGCTTCTTCTTGAACACGAGCATGAGCAACTTCTGCAGCAAGTAGAGGTACGCGGTCGCCACCGTCGTGTAGTGCAGCCCGCTCGCGTTGCAGCTGCCGCTGAAGAGCTGCGCGAGCACGATCGCCTGCAGCGCGAAAAGCAGGAAGAAGTCGATGAGCCGCACGAAAACCGGAAGCGTGCGCAAGCACACGCCGGTCAGGCGCGCCGGCAGACTCAGGGTCGAGAAGAACTCGGTCGGGCACACACTCGTGTAGACAAACAAAATCGTTTCCAGCAGCTCGAGCGCGGCGAACAGAAACCAGAGGCTCGCGAGCGCAGAGCGCGTCGGGCTCGTCGAGCAGTGCACCACTTCGTTCGTCAGTAACAGGTCTTCTTCCGAGCCAGTGCCTAGCAGCACCAGCCCCATGATCAAGTAGAGCACGCTGCTCCACAAGTGCAGCGAGAAGAGGCTGCGGCGCCGCGCGCGCCACTTACTGAACCTTGCACGAATTGAGCAAGAACGCGTAGAGCGCGTTCAACCGCAGCTGGATCCGTACGTTTTTGGCGTTCTCGGTCGCGGACTCCATGCCGGCTGCGGCAATTTCAAAATTATTTGCTTTTCTTAAACATGTGAGTAAACACCGGGTTCGCCTCGGAGACGCCGAACTGCGCAAGCCGTTTTGCGACGCCGCAGCGCTTGCCGCGCGTTCGCTTCGTACGCGCGTCCTCGCCCCGCCTGGGCGCTCCGATTCCGCGCGGGTCCTCGCAGACGCGGTCCTCTTTCTCGTTAAGCTTCTGCTCGATGACTGCGCTGAAGTTGCCCGCGATGCGCTCGAGGTGCGCACTGAAGTCGTCGCTCGGCGCAAGCAACTGCACGCGACCCTCCGCGACTGCCGCGGGCTGCGCGGCCTCGCGGGGCAGCAAGTAACTCGCCGCGCCGGGCTTCTGCTCCGGCTGCAACACACGCTTCAGCTCGACTTCGGCGAAGCTCTCGACGCAGGCGGTGACCTGGTGCGCCGCGGTGTCGCAGTCCGCAAAGCGGTCTCGCTTGCTCTCGTACGCGTTGGCCCGCACGGGCCGCGAAAGCGGGTTGGCGGCGGCGTCCGCAGCGGCGGCGCCCGCGCCATGCTGCGGCGCTTCGAAGTTCGCCTCGTCGCAGTACCAAGCCGTGCTTTTGAGGAAGGCGGGGATGTTGGCCATCGCCCCGCAGCCTCTCCGGCTAATTAGCAAATTAAATATTGCAGAGTCGCGGGGCTCGGACATGAGCTACGCAACGGTTTCCAGTTCACGCGCGGCGCGCGCCGCCGTGCGCGCTTTTGCAAGCGTCTTTGCAAGCGCGTTCGCGCGCGAACGCGCTTCCGGCGAGCGCGGCGCGGCGCAGAGCGCCGAGTGCTGCGGCGCAGGCGCGCACGCGCTCTCGCACGACTTCCGCGCGGACCGGAGGTTGTTCGAGCTGCCGCTAAAGATCAAGTTCGAGATGATCGAGCGCGAGGCGGCCGCGGGCAAGGCGCAGGTCGAATGCTGCGCTCTGGCTGCAGCGCTGCAGCACTACGCGAAAGCGTCGCTCTACCTGGAGTACTGCTTTCCCGAAACAGCAACCGAAAAAGAACGCTACAACGGGCTGGGCGAGAAGATTTTTCTGAATATGTCATTGATATTGCACAAGCAGGACAAGCTGCACGAAAGCATCGAAGCGGCGCGAAATGCGCGTAGATTCAACGAAACGTCGCGGAAAGCGACGTACCGCCTGGTCGTCGCGCACGCGCAGCTCCGGAACGCCAAAGCTGCCGAACTAGAAATCCGCGACGCGCGCTCACGCGCCGACTACGACCTCGTCGCGCTGTGCGAAACCGCCGTGCGGCAGGCGCAGAGCGCGCAGCGCGCGACCGAGACCGCAGTCGCCAAGTCCTTGGCCGACATCTACAAAAGCAACAAACGAGAGGCGGAGGGCTAAGTAGACTTCTTACTAACTAATCGCTATGATGGGTCTAGCGTTGTTCCGCGCACTGCGCGCGCGCGACAGTCAGTACTGCGCGTCCCAGGAACGTCCGCAAAGCGAGTCGTTCAAGCGGTTGAAGTAAGTCTTCGAGCCCTTTTCGACGAAGTACTCGTGCATGCTCGGGTCCGCCCACTGGTTCGACGCGCGGCGCGCGTGCCCGGCGAAGAAAACGTCGCGCGCGTACTGCAGCGCGTCTTCGCCGAGCCGCTGCATCGAGGAGCAGAGGCTGTCCGAGTAAGTGAGCGCGCCGCTGCTGCTCTGCAATAAGTCATTGACAGAGTTGTTTTGCGCCGCGAACTCGAGATTCGCGGGGGAGACCTTGTGCACTGCGAACTCGCCGACGTTCAGCTTGCTCGCCGCGCCGTCTTCCTTGCCGTAGCTCACTGCGAGTCGGTCCTTGCGCATGGAGCGCTTTTTTTCCTCCTGGAAGCGACACGCGCCGACGACCTTGTCCCACAAGTTGCAGACGAACGCCATGCGCGAGAGCTGCTCGACGGTGGCGTTGCGCAGTTCCGCGTACTTGAAGCCGTGGCGCTCGAGCAACTCGTCCATTTCGACCGCGTGCTTGTCGTGCAGCCGGCGCAGCTGCGCGCGCAGCGCTTCGCGACCCTCCTTGCCCAGAATGATTTTCCGGTTCTGTTCGTACAAAATACTGCTGATTTTGCCCTCACGGTCGCGCTGCGTCACCATGTACTCCTTCTTGACGTGTTTGCGCATTTGCGACTGTTTCGCCTTGAACTTAATGAAGTCCTCGTGCGGCGCACTGTACTGCCCCGAGCGCCGCTCGATGCGGATGCGCAGCGCCACATTCCACAGGTTCCACTTGTGCGCCAGCTTCAGCAGCGTCGGCACGCTGGCGCCCTGCAACTGCTTGCCCTTGCAGCCTTTGATGTTCAGGCACGCGCGCAGCAATTCGCGGCCGCCCTCGCCCAGCTGAAAGTTGCAGTTTGGCTCGTATGGAATGATGTCGTTCGCGTACTTCTTGTTCTTCAAAAACTCCGAAATGTTGTTCAACTTTTCGATGGTGTGGAAGTCAATCTCTGGCCGAATGTAGCGTTCGCGCCCTTTCTTGCTCGGCAGTCCGCACGCGTGCGCGGAGAGTTTTTCCAGCGAGTCCGGCACAACCTCCAGCGGCTCCGACTCGGGCGAACAACCTGGCAGCATCGGGCGCAGCATCACGTCCGCGCACTGCAAACTCGGTTCCGGCGTGCTGGCGGCAGTCGAATCGAACGACTGGCGCCGCGCCTGCTCACCGCAGTACTCGTCGAGTTCCGCGCCGTAGTCCGAGTAGTACCACACTTCGCTCTGCGAGTACGAGGCCACGTGCCCGTTGAACGCCGCGCCGCCCCCTTGCAGCTGGCCCACCAAGTAGTCACTCTCGTGGCACTCCAGCCCGGCGTACTCCGGATGTTCGAGCGCGACGCCGTCCGAGTAGTTCATACTGTGTGCCGAATGCAGTACGTCTTTCGGTGTGACGTTTCGCACGAGCGTTGAAGACCGATAGAAACTTGCCATTGGAGATTCCACGAAGACGCTGGTATCTGCGCAAGGAGTGCTGACGTCCTGGTTCATATCATTAGTTGAAGATAACTGAGAAAATTAGTCTCTTAATTTTGATTAATATAAGTCAACCAACAATTTTGGAGTCAGAGTGCATTTTATATTCGCCCGTTTAATCGCGTAAATCGCCTACGGTTCCGACTCGCCATTTGTGTAAACTGTAGCGCAGACGCGCGATCACAGCCACTGCCGTAGCTGCAATGCCTCCGGCGCCGCGAATTTTGCTCGTAGGCGCGGGCGGACTGGCGTGTGAGGTGCTCAAAAACCTCGTTGCCTTCGACATCTCACACTTGTCGATCTGCGACTTCGACAAAGTCGAACACTCGAACCTCAACCGTCAGTTCCTTTACGCGCAAGCGGACGTCTCGCGCTACAAAGCGGAGGTCGCGGCTGCGAAGGTTCGCGCGCTCGCCCAGAACCGATTCACCGTGTCCGCGCACGTGGCCTACGTGCAGGACCTCGCGGAAGCGCTGTTCGCGGACCACGACGTCGTCGTCGCCGCGCTTGACAGCATCTCGGCGCGCTCCTACCTCTCGCAGCTCTGCGTCGCGCACAAGAAGCCGCTGATCGATGGCGGCAGCACAGGCTTCAACGGACAGGCGCTGCTTCTCTGGGCGGCCGCAGGCACGGAGTGCTATTCCTGCTCGCCCAAGCCGCGCACACGCGAAATCCCCGCGTGTTCCGTGCGTGGCGTTCCGCACAAGCCGCAGGACTGCGTAATTTGGGCGAAATTCTTGTTTGAGTCGTTGTTCTGCTGCGCGAAGCCGGACGCTGACTTCGTCGACGCCGCGCTACTCGAGCGCGGCGCGGATGACGCGCAGCAGCTCTTCGTCGCGTTCTTCCGCGACGTGTTCCACCTTCGGCTTGAACAGCTACGCAGCGTCAAGCGCGACGCGATGAACTGTCGCCTCCGCACTATTTCGCTCGTCTCCGACTCACGCAAGCGCGGCGTCGACTCAGCTTTCGCGCCGGACCCCGACCGATCCGCGTACACGGCGTGCGTCGACTCACTGCGCGCGACTGAGTGCTGCACAACGGACGACTCCGTCCAGGATCTGTACCTCAGCTTCAAGAACTTGCGCGCGAGAAGGCGCGAGACTAACGAGGCGCTCGCGTTCCACAAAGACGACGAAGACGTGATCCAGTTCATTGCCGCCGCGGCGAATCTGCGCCTCTACTGCTTTTTCCTCCCGGGTATGTCGCTGTGGGACGTGAAGTCCGTCGCTGCGGACATCGTGCCTGCGCTAGTCAGCACTAACACGATCGTCGGCGGATACCAGTCACTGATTCTCGAGCGGTTGCTTGCGCTGCTACGCGGCGGCGCGCCGCCCTCGCTCGAACTACTGAGCGAGTACGGCATCTCTTTCTTTTGGGTGAAGGGCCAAGCGAGCGGGAAGCACCTCATTATCGCCGAGCCACTCTGCGCGCGAAACCCAAACTGCATGGTATGCACCAGAAAGGTCTCGGTCCTAACCGTCCCTGCGGCGCGCGAACTGACCTACGGCGAGCTGGCGCACCTGCTCAACGAGCAGCTCTCGCTCAAAACGGAAGTGCTGCTCTCGGGCGACAACGTAATGTACGAAGAGAGCACGACGGACTGCACTGGCTCTAGCACCTGCATCGCGAACCAAATTGTCACGGTCGTCACACAGGAGTCGATTTTCGAGCTGCTGATCGAAAAAGACTCGTCGCAAACGCTGCAACAGCCAAAAATTCTGTTCATGGGTTCGAGTTACGTCGACCCGCAACAGCAAACTTTTACAAATGAAGAAAACGTGTTCACCCTTGATTGACTCGCAGCGCTATGCGCCGATCGCCGCTTTGCGGCGCACCGAGAGCAGCTCTTCACGCTCCGAAGCTTGCACCGTTTTCGTAAACCCGCCCAGCGTCTCGACCAGAGCGAGACAGCTGGTCGCGTAGACCATCTTTTCGCGCACCGAGCTTTGGTTTGGCGCCCAAAAAATAAAGCACAGGCGTTTAGCTTCGGGCAGCTGCACTACTGCGAAGCAGCAGCTGTCAGGCTCGAACTTCCCCAGCAGCTCGTCCCAGGAAAGCAGCCCCGCGTCGCAGATTTTGATCGTCTTGAAGTTTTCGATTTTGAAAATCATGTAGTTGTAGTTCTCCTTCTGCAACTTCATGCGGTTCCAGTGTGACATCGTTTCGTCGTCGATCAGAACGCCAATCATTTACCGAGAGCCGCTTATTCGAATATCTTCGTTTTTTTAAAGTTGTTGTTTGCAGCACTCTTTCGCACAAACGCTAGCTCGAGCAGGCGCGGAAACGCATGGCGACGAAGTTGTGGCTCGCGCCGCGGCCGAAAGCTGCGGTCTGCGGCGCCGCGCCCAAATTGCCAGCGAGGCAGAAGCGGCTGAAGCTGGCGGAGAAGCTGCCGAACGAGACGCTGGACGCGGATGTACTCGGCTCCATGCAGCGCGTATGGCTCGACTACTTCGCGAAGATCGCGGCGCCCGAAACTGGTTTGGGACCGCCGAACGAACTGTTGTTGAAGTGCGAGCTGGTCGGCGCGCAGGTGACCGTGGACTTCGCGACGAACACAAACCTCGTGGGACTGAGCGGCACCGTCTTGAACGAGACGCGCAACATGTTGCTTGTGCAAACGTCTGCAGCGCGGAGTGTCAAGCTAATCAAGGCGGCCGTGGGGATCACGGTGCACGCCGGGAAATTTGGCCGCTTCTTTGTGCAGTGTGCAGCGCTGCAGCGCAGGCCGGAGAAGCGCCTATTCAGTAAAATGCAAATTTCCAACTTTGTTATATTCTAATAACGCGCGCGCGCCCTGTAAAAGCCCTAAACCAGACTATGGTCGCATCCTCTGCTGCTTCCGCGCCTACGCTCTGGTCACTAGAAGCCGCCGCAGAAGGACTGCAGAAGAAAACGCTTCACATTGGCGAGCTGCACCTCAGCAAGACGCAGAGCTGCGACGCCTTTGTCACGATAAACGACGAGTTTTTCGTGTTTACGGATGACCCGTCCCGTAAGCCTGTGGCGGTCACAAAGGATATTTATATCAAGCTCGATAACCGAAACGGCGCGACGAACGGGTCGACGGTGATTTACCGCGTGCTGCCGTTCGCGGAATGGCCTGCTTGCAAGAAGGAGGAGTGCTGCGGCGAGAGTAGCGCAAGCTGTCCTCACCTGTCGCCCTGCGGCGAAGTTGTTTACATCTTGGCGCTGAACCGCGCGGAGTTTGCCGGCGTCTTCCGCAAGGAAGCGAACCGCACCCTTTTTCAAAATCTGTGTGAAAGCGAGTGCGTGTTCCCCGTGGCAGACGCAGCTGTCCATCTGGCCGAAGGTGTCGGAGAACTGAGCAGCGACTCGGCATACCTGTGCAGCTTCGGCGAGTGGTGCGACGAGCTGGAGTGCTACCAATTGCACGTCAGAGAGTGCTTAGGAGAGCTGAACTCGCCGAGATGCGAATATAGCATAGCGCTGCTTCACGAAAACATGCGTCACGCGTTGCGCGATCCTGACAGCTTGGTTCGTGCGGAGGCTGAAGTGCGCCACGCAGAACTTTGTGACACAATTAAGAGCGAACTAAACCGGAAGTCACGGAAGTTCGCGGGCCACCGCGCGGTGTCCATCGACCCCATCACTGCTATGGACAAGGACGACGCAGTGAGCGTGACTCTGAAGACGTCAGGAGGGAAGTTGTTCAACCTCGACTACTTGCAGAAAGCGCTCGAGCGTTGGTTCGCAAACCCGAGGCAGCGCGCGGCGGTCAACGACAACTTCTTCGCAATGTTGCCGAAAAACACGCGCATCGAAGTCGGCGTGCACATCGCCGACGTAAGCAGCGTAGTTCTGCCAGACTCGCACATTGAACGCTACGTGCGCGAGCGGCCGCTGACGTACTACTTGCCCGACAAAGCGTACCACATGCTGCCCTTTCCGCAGCTGCTCGAAACTCTGTCGCTCGACACCAACGGTCCGAAGCGCACGGCTTCCGTCCACCTCACATACGATGCGGAGATGAACTTGCTGAACTTCGCCGTCGAACATCTCACGCAGAACATCGCTCAGAGCGTTTGCTACGAGTACGTGCAGCTGCTGCTAATGCAGTTCTCGATGCAAGCCGCCAAACGCGCTTTCGACTGGAATCAGTCTCCTTTCGACCTAGCAGAGCTGCAGAACTTGTACGGGGAGCTCGATCCAAGCTTGTGCTTTGTCGCGAAAGACGCGGACTACGACTTGGCGCGCTTCAAAGTCGACATGCTGCTGGCTCGCTTGGTCAGCTTGCAGTTGGCGCGGACGCGCGCGAACAACGCGTGCGTCAGTTCTAACGTCGAGACGCGTATCACGCACGACGGCAAGAACTTCTGCATCATGCCCGTGCCGGCAACGCTTGGAGAAGCGAAAGAACTCGTCAGCGAGCTAATGCTCGCTTGCAACCGCGCCGTCGCGGAGTTCGAGCTAAGCAAGCTGCCGAACTGCGCTATTCTGCGCACGCACCCGCCTCCGGCCAACATCAACAAGACGGTGGAATCGCTGAGCGAGATCGTGCCGCAGGCGGCAGACTGGCTGCGCGAGAGCAACGGAAACCTGCACGCGTTTTACGCAAAGGTGCTACAGCACACGAGCGGCGAGCTGCAGCTTTTGGCACAGCACATCATCATTATCAACTTCACAGAGGCGGCGTACAACTTCCACGACACGGCGCACAACCAGATTTGCGACGGAGAGCATGTGCAGGGTCACTTCGGGCTCGGCTTCAAAAGCTACATGCACTTCACCTCGCCGCTCCGCCGCTTCGCAGACATTCTAATTCACCGGCTCATTTTCAATCACATTCTCCCGAAAACGGGAAGTAGCGGCGCGGTGATGCCGCTGAGCGCCCCGCGCATCAATGAGTACCTGCAACAGGTGAACAAGTTTTCTCTGGCAGTGACGCGGCTGAAGCGCACTTTGACACAGCACATTTTGTACGTTATCTTGATGAACCGCGAGGAGCCGATGGTAGTCGACTGCGTGATCGAGTCCGTCGGGAAGAAGGCTGTAAAAGCCTTTCTATACGAGTACGGCATTTCTGTCGTCGTCGACAACCACATGCTGACGCGACCGGCGGCGCACTCCAAAGCGCATATGCCGGACACATATAAAGGGAACTACGTGTTGCCAAACCGCTTCGAGTTCGATCCGCAGACCAAGACGGTCAAATACAGCTTTCCGAACTCTATAGTCGAACTGACTGTACTGCAAAAGTCACAGCTGCGGCTGCTGGCGTGCGAAAACGTAAGGTACAAAATTTGCGCAATTGTGCTTCCGAATAATGTAAGCAAGAATATTTAGATCTTTTTATTGCCAAATTCTACGCGGAAGATGTCAAACATCAGGACTCTGGCGGATTTACGAGGAAACGAAGCAACTAGCTGCAGGGATCCTTTTGGGGGTCGCGTAACCTGTGCTGACGCCTACGGCAGCGCGGGCGGTGGTGAGTCACCGCCGGTGAGCATAAGAAACATGCTGTTTCCCTATTACAAAACGGTCTCGTTCACCACCGCGGTCGTCGTGCTGAACATCATAATCTTCGTTGTCGACGTTATTGTTCAGCTAACCGTGGATAAACAAAGCGACCCGTTGCGCTTCGTGCGCACTGTCGGTGGAATCGACTTGATCCAGCATAAACAGGTGTGGCGCCTGGTGACCGCTCTATTCTTTCACGCGGACTTCTTCCACCTCTTCTATAACGTGCTGTTTATGCTGCGGCTCGGCTACTACATTGAGAACAAGTACGGCACGCCGTCAACAGCGTTGCTGTACTTCTTCATGGGCATCGCAGCGAACCTGTTTTCGATTGCCTGGGCGCCTTGCAAGCGCTCGCTCGGCGCAAGCAGCAGCATTCTCGGCTTTGCACCTCTAGCGATGCTGCCTTTGATCTACAACTGGAACGAGTTTAAGCGCGACAGAATAGCGATTTTCTCGCTGGTCATCAACTTGATATTTTTGCTAACCGCTCTTGTTCCGGGTGGCTACATCGACTGGCGCGCACACTTGGGCAGTCTGCTGGCGGGCACGTTGCTGTTCTTTTGCTACCCGCCGTTGCAACCGATGCCGAAGAGAAAGTAAGTTTGCCATTCGCACACCGTAGATGGTCTGGAGCAGCCCGCTACATCTCAATCGTACTGCTGCTGGGGATGTTCACGTCCTCAGTGGGCACGCTGGTTGGCATTCCTATCAGCGACCGCTGCCTATAAATTTCGGATAACTCACCGCAAACTGCGCTTCGTGATCACAGAGCAGTGCGGAAATTAGGCCTTGCCTCGTCTCGTTGCCAGCGCAAAGCGCGATGCACGAGTCTCGCAGCGTCGTGCGCTTCTCGGTTCTGCGGAGCTCTTCGAGAAGCGTTTGAAATTGGGCGCACTCCTCAGCACTGCGGCAAAGTACGCAGATCTCGAAACAATCTTTGAACAACAGATTCAAGGCGTATTCGTACTCTTCTGAGAACCGCTTGTGAGACTGCCGCCTTTGCGGCAGCTCAAATAAACTGCAAATTTCTTTTTCCAGTTCTAGTGCAATTGCCGAAACTTCGGCAACCTGGAAAGGATTCCGCGCCGTGACCTGCGCGGAAACCAGGCTGTCGACTGGGAACTCAAGCACGGAGTCATTGAGATGTTCGCAATCAAGCCGACATTCGTTAAAGTGGAACACGAATTTGACTTTTGCTTGTTTTAAATCCGATAACAGCACACTGGTCTCTATGACGACGTCAGCGCGGTGTGAAGCTTTCTTTATCGGCTGCCCGTGCGTATTATTAGAACAGCATAAAGGAAAGAAAAACATTATATGCACCTAGTTTGCGAAGCAGTTGGCACATCGAACGTTCGTGTTCGCGAGCTGCGCGCCCCGTTTGAAAATACAGAGGTTTTCCAATTTTTTGCAACAAACATGTAGATCTGCGCGCATGATTTCGTAAATGCTGTTGTCTGCGCTGGCAGCGGCTGCAGTCGTGCATACAATTAGTGTGGAAGATGTTGTAGTTCAGTACCCAACGGCCTGGCACAGCGTGTCAATCTCGCCGAGCGATTGTCACACGCTTCCCAGCAGGATTCTAAAAGACTTCGCTGCGGCCGTAGGCAGTCTGCCTGACTCAGAGCTACAGCTCGAGCATTTTTTGGCGACGCTCGAGTCGCAGTCAGCGGCAAAACAGTCAGCCGAGAACACAGCTCTGGTCTCTGGTAACGCTACGAACGCGACGGGTGCCCTGCTAAACGTACTGGTCCGCGTTCTCGGAAGCACTCGTTTCAACGAAATCTGTAAAATCGTCGAGCTGGAAAACTCTATGATGACGCAGCCGTTCATCACTTCCGCATTACAGAGCCTAGTTTTGACTTTTTCAGCATGTCGGAAGTCGGATAAAACAAAACAAGCTGCGCGTTCCTGCACGAAAAAGATCAACTTTCCGAGCGAATCCTACTGCTTTCTCAGCGATACCAGTTTTTACGGACGCAGCGTCATTAAGCTGCGCGATTTGCACTTCGACCTGAATAAACTAATTGCGCACCAGCGCGACTTGCATTACTACTACGGAAGCGAGCTGCTGGAGAGCTCCGCGGAGAGCCTGCGAAGCGAAAGTGAGTCGCAGCGAGCTCTATCGGCTTCAGATTTGCACCAGCTCGCGGCAAACGAGTTCCCGTTTTACCTAGCACTTTGGAAAGTAATTGAGGAGCTGTACGAGCAGTCGTGCGAAAATAACATGACGCGCATCGGTGCAAACTTTTTTCCGCTGCTCACGCTACACTTAAGTTATGCGGATGACTCGCGCCGCAGAATTGGACAGCTTCTGGCGTCTGGACGCTGTGATTTCATTGTCGTAGTACGCGGAACCGTGCACCGTGCTGAGTGGGCCGCGAATCTGACAGCTTGGCTGGTGCCATCGCGCGTCCCCGACGTCTTCATGCACTACGGCTATCTGCAAATTACTGAAGCGCTGTACGAGCCGCTCTATCGAAAAATCAAATCGTACTCTGCTTCGTGCGCGCGGATCAATGTAGTATTCAGCGGGCACAGCTTGGGCGGCGCAGTTGCTACCCAGCTCGCAGCGTTGCTGCAGAATGATGAAGACAACGCGAGCATCTTCGTGTTTGGTTACGGCGCGCCACCTTCCGTTTCGCAGTACAATGCGCAGATCAAGTACAGATACTTGATCGACGTGAAAGACGCACTGTTCGATATCCCTTGTGCTGGCGGGAGCACGCAAAGCGCGTGGCCGCGCATTCTCTTTAAGCACACGCTGCCCAACGGATACGGTGCAGACTACTATCCAAAGACAGCGGATGAAATTGTTGTCGACAGTTCGCTGCACGCGTCGTCGCTGTCAGTGCCGCAGCTCTTTCGCCACTACGGCAAGTACCTTTCCCCGCGTTTGCTGCTACAGCAGTTGCAACATCCTTCGAACGCCGGAGACCCAATTCAGGAGTCTTTGTTGCGCACGCTTCTGTTTCCTGGTCTGGTCGACGCGCAGACACCTCAAAGCCGCAGCAACCCGGCGCCGTTACAGTATTTACAAAACAATATGAATCGCAGTGTCATCTCAGATCTGCGTTTTTTAGTGAACTTAGTGTCGAACCAACTGAGACGCGAGGACGACCGATTAATCATCACGCGATTACTCAGCAATGACATTTTTAAGTACCACTCAAGCGTTTACAGCTGCTTTCTGAGCCTGGGTTGCCAATCGCGTCCAAATAGCAATTTTCACTGGGGTTGCATGCGAAAATAATTATAAATGCTATTTAGCTTAGTCTCATTCGAAGGATGATCAGCGGAATTAGAATAGCACATTCTGCCTGGTCGGTCGCCGCCGTCAGTTCTATGTTGGCGGTAATTGCCTGGTTTTGCGAAAGCGGCCGTGTTTACGACTTTTACGCGACGAGGTATCCCGCACTTGCTGACGATTTGCTCTCTTACCGGTACTACCTCGCTCTCGTGCTGGGCGCAATGGCGTTCGGCTTGTGTATATCTCGACCGCTTTCACGCATCATCGGTATCCGCGCATCTGTCGGCTCTTCCTGTTTCTTAGCTTTTGGACTGACGCTGTTCCTAGTCTGCGTCGAATTCTTTCGCTATGGAATGCTTGACTTGCCGTTCTCAATTTCACAGCGAACAGTAGGCTGGATAATGCTCTACCTACTGCCTCTTTTGTTGAGCGCGCTGCTGGGCTGGTGTTTCTTTGGGACGCTTTCAGGCTTCATAGCGCAGGTAGATGATTACGACCCTGCGGTTTGGCTGGCTTTCTCGACCGGCGTCTGCGCAGCCGCTCAGGCCACGGTGTGTCTACTCACCGACGTGCGCAATTGGAATACGCATATCGAGTTCGCCGAAGTTCTGAAGGTGTATGTGTTTCTGCTAACATACTTAGCGTTCGTTATGGGCTCCAACCTAATCAGCCAAGAAGTGCGCACGCACGTGTATTCAGACTTGCTAAAACCGTCAGCCGTGCCCGGTCAGTCGCCGGCGCACCAGATGATTTCAGAGTTCTTGAGCGACGATTTGGACTCGGTGCGACTCGAGTTTGAATACAACCGCGCTTCGGACCGACTCTGCACCGCTGTCTGCGCCGCACTAGCGCTGGCGTTTGGTTTTTCCAGCGCTCCAACCTCATTCCTGCGCGAAACCACTGAGCTACTTCACGGGATGTACTACAATGCTCCGATGGCAATATTCATCTCACTTGCCGTGATTTGTTTCGGAGTACTGCTGATTTGTATGGGGACCTATTGCCCGACGCGCAGTAGTCACGGTTTCCGTTACGTCACGATTTTAGCGTTCGCGCTGAACGCGCTCATCGCGGTGCTCACAGTCGGCTACTGCCTCGTGCAGCGCAAGATCGTCACGAAGCTGCCGTACATCGCGAGTGTGAGCAGTTTGGTTAACCTATTGTTGCTGTTGCCGCTGTGCCTCGGGGTGCCTGTCAACGGCGCGACACACGCGAACAAAGAAAATATGCTGTGTATTACTCTTACGATGACAGCGATCTGCTGCGGGATCAACGCAATTTTGTGGCCTGTTTGGAAAAATTATTTACTGTTGTTTAATATTTGCGAACCGTGTGTCCTGCTGTTACTTCCGCTGTGGTCCTTAGCTAAAAAACGCTGTTCTTTTTACAGCAACGGCTGTTTCAACTATCTGCAATCCGACATTTACGACAAAGTCATCGAGGCGGAAACTTCCGCGACGGTCGACAACCCGCCTAGCAACAACTTGAAACGACTTGTTTAAGCAGAATGGGCGACGACGCACAGCGTCTCGACGTGTCGCTGTTTTTGTGGCATTTCAATCAGTGCGATCCTGCGCGCTGCTCAGGCAAAAAGCTGCTGCGCCGAAAGTTGGCGGTTGAGCTGAGACGCGGCGAGCCGTTCGAGGGCGTCGTTTTGTACGACGACACGCCAGACATGCTATCCCTTGCAGACTTGGCGACCGCTGAAGCTAGCGGCATTGCCGCTATAGACTGCAGCTGGAACCAGATTGGCAAGCTGAACTTTGCCACGTTGGTGCGGAAAGCCAAACTTCGCAAGTTGCCGTTTCTACTAGCGGCGAACCCGTGTCACTTTGGCCGGCCGCTACAGCTAAACTGCGTGGAGGCGTTTGCCGCCGCGCTGGTGTTGCTGCAGCGCGAGGCGGCGGCGCAGCAGCTGCTGGCAATTTTTTCGTGGGGCGCGTCGTTTTGCTCGCTGAACCGCAAGCTGCTGGATTTGTACTGTGCGCGCCCATACAGCGCAGCGAGTCTCGAAAAGCTCAGCGCGAAGGCGCAGCAGAAGCACAAAGAAAAAAAACTGAAACTGATCAGCTGAATTATTTAATTTCAAGCTAAATTATTGGGATGAACACTGGCACAACAGCCAGCGCTTGCCTCACGCTGCCGTTTTACACGGCAGTAGTCGAAAAAAAAAATCTTTCCGCAGTGAAAACCTCGCTCGCTGAGTTTTTTAAGCGCAAGTGCTTGGTGCCGCCGATCGGCGAGTTGTCTACTGCGAATGCAGCACAGCTGCCGTGCGGGCTGGCCGCGGCGGACTGCAAAGTGGTGCGGTTCACGAACGTCGCGTGCGCCGCAGCCGGCCACTCGAACACGCTGGTGGAGCCTGAGTTTTCACTGCTCGCACTGACCGAACGGCTGCGGGACGCGCGATTCGCCGCGCTGCTGCACTGCGACGCTGCACCTCCTTCTGTGCAACTGGAACAGGTGCCGTTGCGCGCGCTAAACTTTCGACAGGCTTGCACGCTGCACATGCCGCCCGAACTCGTGCCGAGTTCGTTCGAGATGGTCGGGCACATTGCGCACTTCAACTTGCGGCCGGAGCAGTTGCCGCATCGCTTCTTCATTGGCGAGACGCTACTGCGCACGCAGCCGAACATTCGCACGGTGGTGAACAAAACTGAGAGCTTGTCGAGCCAGTTTCGCGAATGCCGTTTCGAACTCCTCGCAGGCGACGCGGATTATGCGGCCGTAGTCGTGGAAGAGGGCTTGCGTTTCGCAGTCGACTTCGAGAAGGTTTACTGGAACAGCCGGCTCTCGAACGAGCGAAAGAGCATCACCGCGGCAGTCCCGGCCAATGCGACGGTGTTCGACGTGATGGCGGGAGTCGGTGGGTTTGCGGTTTCGCTAGCGAAAAAAAAAAATTGCACCGTTTTTGCGAATGACTTAAACGCGGCTGCGGCGCAGCTGATAGCGAAAAATGCGAAGCTGAACCGCGTGCAAGACAAAGTGCACGCGTTTAACATGGACGGCGGCGAGTTCGTGCGCCGCGCTCCGGCACTTGCGGGCGCGCGGCCAGCGCCTCTATATTTCATTATGAACTTGCCGTGTTTAGCTCTTGAGTTTTTGGAAAACTTCGCGGGGCAGTCGCATTTCGTAGTGTTCGCTTATTGTTTCGCGCACCCTGAGCGCTACGAGACGGAGATCGCGGAGCGGCTCGCGCCGTTTTTGTTTCTGGCGCGCTGCTCGCGCAATGTGCGGCTCGTGCGCGACGTCGCGCCGAGCAAACGAATGTACTGCGTATGCCTCCGAGCCGAATAAAGATTAAAATTTTATTAAGTCGCGGCGCGCGATGATAGTCAGAGCAGGCAGCAGTTTCTTCGCACGCACGCATGGCTTGGCTGCTGCAGGCCGCGCGGTGCGAGCGGCGTCGGCCTCGTTTCTGGCGCCGGAATCCGCGGTGTTTACGGATCGGCAGATATACATGGACTACCAGGCTACCACGCCAGTGGACCCGCGCGTGGCGCAGCTGATGCACGAAGTGAGCCTGCGCGAGTTCGGAAACTACCACTCGCGCACGCATTCGTACGGCTGGCGCGCGGAAAAGCTGGTGGAGGACGCGCGAGCGCAGATCGCGCAGCTGGTAAACGCCAAACCGTCGGAGATCGTTTTTACGAGCGGCGCGACGGAGAGCAATAACTTGGCGCTCAAGGGCTTCGCGGAGTTTGCGGAGCGCAGTGGCGACAAGCGGCACATCGTGAGTGTGCAGACGGAGCACAAGAGCGTGCTCGGCGTGCTAAACTACTTGGAGCACGCGCGCGGCTGGAAGGTGACGTACTTGCCGGTGGACACGGCCGGTCGCATCGACCTCGAAAGGTTGCGCAGCTCGATTACGCCGGAAACTGCGTTGGTGAGCGTGATGATGGTGAACAACGAGATCGGAACGATCCAGCCGATTGCGGAGGTCTGTCGACTCGCGCGCGCGGCCGGCGTCGCTGTGCACGTGGACGCGGCGCAGGCGTTAGGCAAGGTGCCCATCGACGTGGAGGCGCTCGGCGTGGACCTCATGTCGTTCAGCGCGCACAAAGTGTACGGCCCGAAGGGCATCGGCGCGCTGTACGTGCGCGCGAAACCGCGTGTGCGGCTCGTGCCGCAGATGCACGGCGGCGACCAGGAGCGCGGAATGCTCAGTGG